TGATGTTCTAAAAACGTGTTCATCACATATACTTACTCAAAGACACGAGTAAATCTGGCTTCTTTGTCTCTCTCGGCTAAATATAACTCAAAACGAATGTCGTCCGGGTCCAGAGCTCTTTGCTGCACCTCTTGGGTGGTAGAGTCATTGAGCTTCTTTGTAAATTGGTTTTCTGTTTGGATAGCAGGTTGCGTTTGCCACAAACGGCGTCGAGTTGGATTGCTGCTATCACTACGCCATCCTGTGCCAAGAACGTCTCGCTTTGACCTTGATCCTGAAGCTGGGCTGCCACTAACGTTAATCTTATCAGGCTTGTAACAAGACGAAATATCCATGTCACCTTCGGAACCAAACGTTACACTCAAATCTTTCCCCTCATTTTCTAACGGCACTCCCTCCTCTTGTTCCTCCCTAAGATCTTGTTCTTTCTTCTTTGTGATTTTTTCTGGCCTCATTGAAATAACTGGCTCATGAAAATCGCAAATTCCACTAACCGGCGGTGTATTAGTACTCCAGTGAGTTGGTGTGGATCCCGGAGTCAATGAGTTGTTTGACATGACATCAGACACATGAGGTTCAACAACGTTGCATGCCCGACCCTTGCTAGAAAATTGCCCATTCTCTTCACTATTTTCTTCATCTGTCTCACTTCTGTTTAGTGCCGGTCTCCTCTTCCACTTTTTTTTCTGAAGGTTGGCTGAAGCTTCGCTTGTATCAACTAATGAAGAAGCAGAAACTATTTTACTATTCTTGCCCTCTTCAGCAGCCCTCATTGAGTTTTCCATCTCCTTTTTAGTCCTTTGCTTATCCTTCCTTTCTCTTTTAGACTTTTTCTTATCTCTTGCCTCGTTCTCCTTAATATCTTCCTGTAAAAATTCACTGGTCCCCGGAGAATCGTTTTTTGTAACTTCGCTAATAACAGGAGACTGCTTGAGGAGAGCAGAATGATCTACGTACAAGTGATGCATGTCCAAGCGAGGATCGATAGTCTGTCTATTTGTGAAACTGTCAGAAGTGGTAGCAGCCAAATCACTTAAGTCGTTGGCAGGTAAGATAAGAATCAAATTGACCGGTGGGGAAAGTCGAATGAAGGCACTGTGTGCGTCTACATCGGATATCTGAGATCCAAATTCGATCAAAGAAAGTAAACAAAAACAGTATAAAATTAACAGATTTATCTATTAGGAAAAGCATTGCATTGTTATTGCTTGTTGTTTAGTATTTATAGAGCATTAGAGGCTTGCGCTTATAAAATATAGTAAAATGAATTAATGCAAATATAATAGAACAGAATCTAAAAAAATAATATGCATAAAGGCAATAAAGACAGGATTAATCTAAATAAGAAATAAAAATTGATAAAATGAGACGACGGCCAAATATTATCAAATTAACTTCGAAGTTAATGAATGTAAATTACCTTTTTTTTGGCTGATCAAAAATGCCCATAAAAAATAAATATAACGAAAAGAGAGCAATACCAGATAAGACGAAGTCTAAGGTTGCTCACTCTAGTTATTTTATGTATAAAATGCATACTTTCGTGAACTATAATGTTCGAATATGAAAGAAAAACAAAATATATGCAATCGCTAAATAATACACTCTAGAAAAGCAGGAGCGATAGGCAATGTGCATGGAATGAAAATTCAAAAATACAAATACAAATATTTAGATATACTACTCACAAGTAAAACAATGCGATATGTTAATTTCTGCTTTTAGGACGACTGGAAGTAAAGGATAGGATCAGTGGAGCATGTGCTTATGAGTCGAGCTCTCGTAATGAAAAAAATGGAGTTTTGCCTACCATGTAAATGTATAAGAATATATGGCGGAAGGGGGGAGGGTATAGTCAGTTACAAGCATCGTTTTGTGTCTGATTCCCATTGTGCTGCCTTTTTCTAGAGACCCAGTTACAATGAAGTAATGATGGGGACGCATAATTAGTACCAGGCTCTATGGATGGGAAAAAAATTGGTATTGATGAAAAGATCCGGTAATCTTTTTAGCTCATTGGATAATAAATTTCATAAGGAAAATTGCGTGGCAGAGATTGATAAAATAACCTCAACGAAAACCGAATTAAAATATTTTTAGAAGGGAGAGCTGATTTGAGCTTATACATTCACGGTGCCCATTCCTGTCGTTCCGAGGATTCCGTAGATGTCAAATTAAGGATACGTTTAACCATCCGCCTTCTCAGACGAAATGAAGGATATGCTAGTATTAATCTACTAAAGGATTCTTCGAAACTCAGCTTCTTTTCATATCTTAGAAGATTGGGCTTGTCTTTTAAGCTATCAATTCTAGTGTCTTTATTTCAAAAGTGTCTTAACATATTATAATAGAGCCCACATAATATTTTTATCACTTGAAAGTCCTCGGCAAATGACAACAATTTGCCCATGTCTATATGTTTGTATGCATTCTTTTCATAGTATTTGGAGAATTAAATCATCAATGGATCGGCAGAATTCCCTTGATATTTCCTGGTTATAAGCTAGTTGACTTGATTTTATTATTCACTTGGATTAAACGTATACTTAATTTGACAACCCTCCTTTGATATCAGATGAGGCCAATTTGCAAATCCCTTCCACTCGTACAATTACCTGGCTCTCTCCCATGCTGCTAAAATTTTTTATCTAGAAGTAGGGGCACAAAAATTGAATTACCATTCTAATTTGAGAAGCTGATTTATATTCAGAATTCTATATAGTTTACCTAATGACGTGTAGCAAAGGGCAGGATTAGAGAGTGGATATACGCAAGCCATTGACCTTCTAAGTTTAGCTGCCTTTTACATAATCGCAAGAATTACTGGATTTAAGTGGTATGATATATGAATAGGCCTAAGGTTGAAGCTATTAGATATTTTAGCAAGTTTGATTGGTAATAATAAAACATATTTTAAGGTTTTGTTAGCTTGTAACAACAGGATCTGACTCAAATAAAGGAAGATAGCTGAGACGGACTTGTTTGATTCCTAGATTAGATAGGTACCTGAGGTAAGGGCATTGCCGAGAGTATTTTTTGAATGGCAACTCTGTCAGCTGTAGAAAAGAGCAAAGTAACATCGCCTGACGTGGCAGAGGTCGTGGAGGCTAAATTGGCAGAATCGAGAGTAGTGTTGATTGTAGCCTCATTTGTAGGTGTGCAATAAGCACGAGGAAGAGTAAGTCCTGCCTCAGAATAATAAAAGATCTGTCCGTGCGTTTCAGTTCCAGGTGGTGGCAAGTGTGCAGATCCAAAGGTAGATGATTGAGAAAATTGGCTGGATACCGAAGGAGACCCAGGAATAAGACTCTGTTGACCAACTGAATGCCGAAGATGCGTCGGTTGGAGAGGTCGAACGACCTGTGAGGAGGTAATTGTTGCAGCAGGAGGCAAAATGGGATTTGGGACCGAATCCTGCGCTGGCTGCAATCCATGTAATTGCTGACCTTGTGTATATGCAGACGAATGTGGTGCATTATGAAGTAGAGAGTGGGAAAAGCCGTCATGTGATGCGGTATATTTGAGCTGATTTTGATGAGAATGGTAATGTGGATGACTATTCAAATGAGGTTGTCCATACTGAAACTGGTGCTGCTGATGATAAGTATGGGGATTTGAATGAGGATACTGGTGCTGATAGTTGCGGGATCCATTCTGAGATGTGAATTGATTAGAATGCGGGTATTGACCAAGCGAATATTGATGCGTGTGAGGATTCGTGTACCCATAATGTGTGTGACTTGAATGGTATTGAATGTAATGACTTGGTTGGTGAGCGCCGAAGTTTGTGTGATTAATGTAGTTTATAGGATTTGTCTGTGATGAGTTGCGGGGTAATTGGAGAGAGGAGTTGCAAGAAGATGGAGAAGAAGAGGGAGAGGTCGAGAGTGAAGATGAGGCTGCTGTAGTTGAATAGAAAGAAGATCGGGAGACGGAATTAAGGGAAACTTCAGTGGTATTCGAGAAAGAAGGTATGGACAGGCCAGAACAAGTGGATGGAGCCTCTTGGCTACTACCAGAGGGAGCAGATATAAGTGTAACAGAAAGTGGAGAAGTTGAGGATGTTTTGAAACCAGCCAAAAGTGTTGCGCTGTCGGAGTTCGACACCGCTTTACCCGATTCAAGAGCCTGAGGAGATTGCTGCTGGACTTGGGCTGGAGGGTGAGGTTGGTTATGATGTAAGTGTTGTAAATGATGACTGCTTAAACCGGATTGTCGGGGAGCCTGAATTCGGCCGCCAGAGTATTTGGACCAGGTTAATGGCTTTTTAAATAAGCCCGGTCCATGGCCAACAGGACAGGCTGTACATGTAGCTGAAACTAAGCTCAAAGAAGTTGATGTCACTGTGCAGTTAGTAGATGATGGACTGTCTTGGCTTACTCCAAGAGGCGGAGCATTTAATGACAACGGATGGGTGAATGAAGGCGAGCTAGAAGTCGTGCCAGATGGCAAATTTTGAACCACCTTGCTCACCTGAGCCAGGCGACGGGACGATGGTCGAGTACCAGACTGAGAAGCTATGAAAAAAATAGCCATAGTGCAATTTGTCGTTAAAATTGTTTATCCAAACGTTTATATTTACTCTATGTTTAATCAAGTCATAGGATCTGTGAAACATTTATAGTCTGGAAAAGTGGCAACATTGAGATCAGCTTTTATCGAAAATCCTTAGAAAGGTTGTTTGTGATGAACAACCGATGAAGCTTAGGTCAAATAAAGTAAAAATATGGTATTTATAGTAATTAATGGAAGAATAAGAAAATAAATTACTTATTAACAATGCACTGAAAAAAAATGGATCCTGAACGAAACTCATCTGTAGACATCACAAAAGATAATCAGTCTCTCTTTACTTTTTCATAAACAGGATGAATTAAGTAGGAAGACAAGATGAGCTAGCTGAAACAAACATATTGGCTATAAAACACTGATTATGCAGAAGGAATGTCATGGAAATAATACAAAAAAAATTTAAAAAATGCGCTTTGAACAAAATAGATGAACGTATGGCAAATAGGATTATGGCAAATGATTTAGCAAAAAGTAGTTAAAAGATTGATACGTTTCTCAGAATACGTGATACAAAGCTTGATGAACAAATAAACATGTGAGATCTGCCCTGCGACTCAAAAACAATGTAGCGGAGTAGTTAATGCTCCGAGCTTACACGCTGCATTGTCATGGTTCGACTCCCGCTGGGAGTGTTGATAAGACCTAGGCTATGTCGGAACTGCAGTGCACCCTGCAGTCCACCCTGCAGCTCATCCTTTGGGGAAGCAAGGCTATGTGAAATTCAATGGAAACGTCAGTTCTACTCATCGATGTGGAAAAATTCATATACCAGTCCCTCATCAACTTAAACGAAGTAGGGTGATTTACTGGTAGTCTCGAAACCCTACTCAATAACGAAATAAAGGTGAGAAAATATTTTCCTATATTTGATTAAATTTCAGGGTTTTAATGCCAGCGACAAAGATCTTATAGTTGGGCGAGGATGCGCATAACGATCCTAGGTGAGTTGGGGCTAAGCATGACTTTCTTTGTTGGCATTACCGGCTAAGATGTCTGCACAAAATTCGGAGAAAGTGTCCCACTGAAGCTCCGAGGTTGGGGAAATATAGGACGATTGTAGAGGGCATATCATGAAGAAGATTCTATTATGTTTCCCTCTAAATTGTGAAGACATGGTTACATAAACTCCCAAAATTCCAGAGTCGGCAATCCAGCCAAAAGCTCTGAAGCATTTGCAATGAATTATAATGATAAAAGCACGTAACAATACTGAGAAAGCTGGAATAAAGTTATACCAATTTCATCAGATATTTTCTAGTAATATACACTATAGTAAAGAGTGAAGGATTCATCTGTCTTATGCATGAAGGTAATGATTCCTGATATGATAACAATAAACATGGATGAATTAAGATGTTCTGAGATTAAGAATATCATAAAGTCTTCGCTTGTATATATTTAAAAACAATAAAAGACATTATAGTAACCCAATGTATTTTAGTTTATCTAAAATATTCACTATAAATATGTACTCGGCTTCGCGCTACCGTATAAAATACCCCAGCTTGGTATAGAGGAACAAGAGAACGAGTCACGGAGTGTTTTGCATAGGCGAAGGAAAGTTACATGCGAGGATTTTCATGAGCAAAAAAACACAACGATGGCGGAGTGTGCTGTTGGTAAAAGAGAGTGTTCGGTCACAGAGGATCACAGAGGGTAACGACGGCACCAGGAGAGCGACGGGGCAGGGAGTGCCAGTTTGTGATTTTAAATACCCGTGTGTACTTTTAATGCCACGTTCTGATCGTTTCAACAAAGAGTCCCGATGCGGTTTCTAGGTTTGCTTAATCCACGCAGGACACAGTGTCAGTGAGTCATGCTCCGCTTGGTGTTGCATGAGATAAGAGGTAACTACGAGATGTAGCCAAACTGAGTATGGTGTAAGCCACTACACCGTCATAGTTACCACATCGGAGCAATCATTGGGGCTAAACCAGACATGTACCCCAAAACCTAGTAAATCGATATTGTATGCTTCGTTTGGGATGCAATTACTCTTGAGTTGTCTGACAAAAGTGATGTATATGAAGAAAAGTTGGGTTTCGAGGAATCTCTTGTTTCATAGTTGTTGGGATTACTTCCATTTCGA